AGCATTTAAATTGTAGAAGCTGTGTCTTATTGTGTATTTGTTGTATTAATGTTGAGGCTGCAGTTTTCTCATCAGCTTTACTACAGACGTTATTAATTAGGCACAGTTGTCTTGTAGAATCAACTTTCTCTTTCACTGTATCAGAGGAGTTTTATCATAAAGTCCAAAGTTTCAAATTAATATGATTTAACCGAGAGAGATATTTCCAGGATGAAGAGAAATAAATATTTAAAAAGAGACAAACTCTGGTTTAAATATTCGGCCGTAAAACAACGATATTAAAATCAAACACCGCAACAGAACCATGAAGACATGAGCGCAATTACACGCTTACTGAAAAAAAATCTGTGATTAATGATTAAAAAAAAAAAAAGAAGTTGCACGTCGTCGTGAATCTTCAGAGTGAATCTGTTTCGCTTCATGTCAAGTTAAGATTTGACGAGTGGCGTCTGATCTACTTCACAGTTGTCTTGTCATTTTTAAAAACTTGTTTCCGCTCATCGTTCGTGAAGTGAAGTACGACTTCAGTGAAGAGGAACGTCCAGGTTTCTCCTATAAATGAACAAGTGTCCACCGAAATAAAGGAATTCTTCGGTCCGTTATGTTTAGAGTCTGCAAACAGGCACGAAGAGTTATGTATTGTTTCTGTGTAAAAGTCCGATCATCTGTTCTTCACTGGAAGAGAACAGTCTCTCTGACGTTTATTGGGATTTATATGGTTTCTTATTGACTGTGACACGGCGTAAAAAACCCACGAGTGAACTAAAACCAAAGCCAGACAGTTTAAACTGGATGAAACAATGCAACATACCCGTTAAACAGCTGTAGCTTTACTTAGGAATCTGCGCGACCTGTGCAGGAGGATTTTTGTCACGTTTCAGTTTTACAGTCAGATCGGAAAGCGGGTCAGTTTGTGCATCTGTACCAACTTCACGTTTAGAGACATTGAAAAGAACAAGCAGCGAGTGTTGAACTTTGTTTGACACAGAAAATGAAGCTTTCCAAAGACAGGAGGAGAAAAACAGCGAGGACGACAAAACCTCAGAGAGATTCCATCAGAGCCTCTGAGAGAAAAGGTGACGATCGAGGGGTGATGATGCTTTTGTGATTGACTGACCTCTGACACACACACACACACACACACACACACACACACACACACACACACACACACTACCTGTCTGGTTGCGGGCCGCCTGCTGTGTGTCCATGCAGTTGGTCAGGTATGGCGGGTTGCTGAACATCCTGCTGGGGGGCTGGTGATGGTGCGGAGCCGTCACAGGCGGCGGTTGGCTGGAGGTCGGCGGAGGAGGGGGCGCCCCGAACGCTGCCCCGTACCTGCAGGCCCCCGTGCCCGTGAACTGGCCCGAGAAGTGGACGGTGAAGGCGCTGAGGCCACAGTGGGGGTCGGCTTCGTGGTGGTGGGGGTCCACCGTGGTTCCCCAGGTGGGCTCCTGCTTAATGAAGGAGTGGGACCCCAGGGGGGTGTGGGGGGCAGCCAGGGAGGAGTAAGGGGAGGCGGCGGTGTGGAAGTCCAGGACGGGAGCCCACTGAGGGGCCGTGCTGACGGGCAGGGCCGGGCACCCGGGGCTGGGGCCCGCCGGGAGAGGGGGCAGCAGGGAGTTCAGGTCACGTAGGTCTGAACCCATCGTGGTCCAGGGGAGAAGAGGAGGATGATGGTAGGCAATTTTTAAATTTGATCTGCCTCCGTCTACCTTTCTACCTGTCGGCCTCTCCCGGAGTGTCTGTCTGACCCCGACCCACAGCAGCCCCCACCCTCTAAATCCTGCAGAGTCTCTGTGAGCAGCTCTCCGTCTCTCTCAGTCTTCCAGGACCCGTTGCTCCTCAGGACGGCCGCTCCGGAAACCACTTTAAGTCCGACAGAAGTTTGGTGGCGACGCAGAAAAGTCACAGCGGTCGACTTGTCTCAGCTGAAATAAAAGAAATAAAGAGACGTGAGAGACGAGGATCAGCTGCGAGCTGCAGTTTCCGTCACACAGCAGCAGTAAACAGAGAGATGGAGCTCACTCAGGGAGGAGAGAGGTCTGAGCCCACAGCTTCTCTGTGAATGGAGGGAGACGAGTGGAGGAGTGAGGAGGAGTGAGGAGGAGTAGCCCTCTTCTCCCTGTCAGCCCGCAGGAGTGTGTGTGTGTGTGTGTGTGTGTGTGTGTGTGTGTGTGGAGGGTAGGGGGTGGAGTCAGGAGGTGATGAGGGGCAGGAGCCCCCTGACTTCATTGACTGTATGATGAAGAGCACTCACACACACACACACACACACATACACACTTTCCTGGAGACTTACTCTGACCAAACCCTGAACATTAACTTAACCTAAACTTAAACTAACCTTAACTTACAAAAGTAAGTGATAACTGGACCACACACACACACACACACACACACACACACACACACACACACACACACACACACACACAAAATAAATACATGTACTTAAACACAGACACATACGGAAATAAATATATAATAATGATATTTAAACATCTCTAACATAAAACACTGATCATCCTGTTCTGTAGATTTTCTGTTATTTAGATATTTTGAACTCTGTGTGTTCATGTTTTCTCACCGAGGCTCGTTGTTTCTGTTCAGTTCATCACAGAACTTCATTAAATAACGAGTCTCCTCTTGATTTAAACTTTAGTTTCTGAGTTGGAACCAGAAGCTTCACGTTACTTCGTCAGGTTTGTGTCCGGAGGCCTCGCGCTGGAATCAGTTTGAATTAAGAAATAAAGTTGAAATGTAAAAACCAGACAAATACTGAATCAATCGCGAACACTGTTATTATTCTGTTGTCATTTTAAAAATGTCAACGTGAGAAATAAAAGTCGGCGTCTTTACATTTTTGGTATAAATGTGTTTTTAGTCGCGCGCAGACGAACAGCTCGCGCGACGACTGATCGATTGATTTATTCTTATTTATTTAAAAATCGATATATTTCACTCAAACGATTCTGTGATGATAAGAATAAATAAAATGAAAATCTTCATCATCTCCCTGTAAATATCCAGGTCAGTGACTCACACTCATCCTCTGGAGTCTGAACGTGAAGCTCCGACCACAAACACATCAGCACTCGTTTTTAATACATTATATATATTTTTCAATATTCAATCCTCCACATTTTAAATCTATTAAATCACATTTTATATATTTAAGGTATTTGATTTACATTATTATCATTATTATTATTATTATTACAGAACTTAGTCATGGACGGTTTCACCTTCATTCCACGTCCTCTCTCTGTGTGTGTGTGTGTGTTTGTGTGTGTGTGTGTGTGTGTGTGAGTGTGTCTGTGTGTGTGTGTGTTTGTGTGTGTGTCTGTGTGTGTGTCTGTGTGTGTGTGTCTGTGTCTGTGTGTGTGTGTGATCATTTCTCTGTCATGTTAACGGGAACGTCAAAAACCCGTTTAACGCAAATCCACCGATGTTGAAGCGTCAAATAAATCAAATATATATATACATTTATATAATGATAAAAACAAAGACCTTATTACAACAGCGGAACTTTCACCTCTCGACAGAAAATAAAAATGTTAAACAATATTTTTAAATTTTGCATCAGGTGCAATTAATTATAGTTTAATCCAAAAACAGAATCTAGGGACATGAAGGTTATTGTCGTAAATAATAATTTCTTTCAAACATTAATCTCAACACCAACACGTTTCAGAGGATTATATTTTATTTCTACACTTAATTATAAGATTTTTCTAATTGCTTCAGTCTTTTGAAACCGTTTCTCTCATTGTTGTTCCTGATCAGTTTGCAGCAGCGCTCATGATTTAAAATGATCAGAGACACAGAGAGGAGGATGATGATGATGATGATGAAGAGGAGGAGGAGGAGGACACCAGGATGAAGAGTCACACACTCACACACTGATTTTAAATTAAATCAAATGAATCAGAATGTTGTTTGTTTGTAATATTCATTTCTTAAAGTTGCATTAACTGACTCACACTCTATGTTCTTCATAAATACTTCCTCCTCCATGTTTACAGATGGGACATGGACCAAACCTAAAAAAGTCAAAGTATAGATGTCGAATACATTTTTCTCCAATAGGTAATTTAAGGTGTTTTTATAAATACAAATCCTGTTGTTATAGATTCATGTTCTGATGCTGATACTTATGTAAATAGTAAATGATCTGTATTTAAATACATCTACTGCACTTTACAGTTTATTGGCATTCATCCTTATTTTATATTATTCCAGTGAGGAGGAGCCACAACCGCTGGCTGCTATAGGATGACACACCTGTCAATCAAGGCTCATGTGTCTCCAGACACAATTAAAAAATAAATTCACCTCATTATCATTTCATAAACATGATGTCAGGAGTGAAAGTTAATGTTCAGGCCTGAAATTCATGTGGAAAAATTTACCATTTCAATTCAATTTGCACTGAAAAGACAAAAAAAAATAAATAAATAAATAAATGTAAATTTAAAAAAGAAGATCCAAATATTGCAAAAATCATTTTCATGCTTGTCTGAGGTGGAAAAGTTAAAAACAAAACAAAATGCAAAAAAGATTTCACTTTCAAAAATCATCAGACTCTCACCATGTCATAGAGGTGTCGTGTTTCCACCGTGTGTTCTCTCCGAGTTCTTTAAATCACATCAAACCGTCCAATCAGAAGCCTTCACGACCCGACCTGTTCTCCTTCACGACAGAAGCAACAGCACCTCTCCCCCGTCGAGTTCGACTTCCTGCTGGAGTCTCACAATAAACTTTCATTCTGTTCTAATCAACTCAAGTCATTTCTCCCTAACGATGTTTATCTGACCAGCAGGTGGCGCCACTTAAAATCAATCAGCTTTCTAAATTTAAGGTTTAATAACGGCTTTGTCTGAATCGCATTATTGTATTGTAACTGTGTGTGTGTGTGTGTGTGTGTGTG